GGCGGGTGGTGGTGACGTAGGCATACGCCTGGTGGCGCCTGGACGGCAGACTGGGTCAGGCGCGGCGGCTGCTCCTGGGCGCAGCCATGCTGATATGTCCGCATCGAAGGCCGCATCAACGGCCACTCCTGCGGCCGCGGCCACCGCGGCGCGTGGGGCCGCGCAAGCCAGCAGCACGTCCGCTGCAGCGGCGCCCCCCGCGGCGACGGCCGGTGTGGAAAGGGATCAGGCGGAGGAGCAGGGAGCAGCGGGCGCCTCGGCAGCAGCGGCGGCGGCGGCGGCGGGGACAGGCGCTGCAAACGGGCCGCAGGTTTTGGCCTTCGCGCGTCCTTGGTCCTCGGGTAGCATCTCGGCGGCTGCAGGAGCTGTGGCGCGTCAGCGGCAGCTGCACGAGGAATCCCCTTCGACGCCGCCTGCTTGCTCGGAGGCGCCAATGCCAGAGCAGCAGCAGCAGCGGCAGCAGCAGCAGCAGCAGCGGCAGAATGAGGAGGAGGGGGCCGTCCAGCTTCAGGAGCAGCAGCAGGAGGAGCGGCAGCCCGTGCTGCACGACAGCAACCGGCGCTTCAGGGGCCGCTGCCGCCACCTGTCGCGGCAGGAGCTATGGGAGCAGCACCGCGGCAGGTGGGGGGGCGGCGGCGGATGACAGGCGGCCGCCTCCTGAGCGGCGCTGCACATCCATGTACCAGACACGTGACACGCGGTCACCTTGTACGGCTAGCTCATCAGAAGTTGAACATGCAGCACTGCAGAAGTGCTGCAGACATCCACGTCACAGTCAACCGCCCCTGCATCTGGACAATGTGTGTAAATGGCAAGGGGCAGCCCCCACCGTGATAATGCTCAAGCATGTGGCACGCGGTGCCCGGCTGCTAGCGAGGCTCTGCCATATTCAAGCCGCGGGTGGCCGTCAGCCATTGGCAGGGCAGCTGCTCAGCCGGCGGGCATGCTTGCAGCAGTGCAGCGGGGTGTTTACTTAGCGCGACACGCAGCACAGCGACTTTGCCACGACACGCGGCTTTTACAACGCATATCAGTGCAGTGGACTTGTCTCGTTGCAGCGTATCATAAGCACCCACATACACCCATCGCCTCGATCATCTACACACCAGCTTTCAGCGCTCTCTGGCGAACTGTCCTTTCACCGTTTTGCAGCAGCGAGAATCTCACATGAATAAGCGCAGGCAGCGTGAGCGGCTTCGACCGCGGGCACCTTCGACCGCTGCCGCCGCCGCTGCGCCTGCTGCGGCCCCGCCTTCATCCACAGCAGCGCAGCGCTGCGACATGTGCGGCTGTATGGTGCCTCCTGGTGCGGTCAGCTGGCAGCAGCATGTCTCAGGTGAGCGGCCGGGGCGGCGCAGCCAACGGTGCATGCCTAGAGACGCCTGACTCACAGGTGACATCGCCGCCTCTGTTCATGTCACGGCGCCTCGAGAACCCCCACATGCCAGCAAAATACCTTGGAACTTGAACAGAACCGTGCTCGAAACTACCTGAGCACTCTAGCACCACAATGCCAGCAAACATCCACTACCATGCCAGCAAAACCTCAGCACTCTGCTGAGCAAGTGCTCTGCCCTGCTGCCCTCCCAACCGGGCCCAACAGGCATCAAGCACCGCCGCAACGCCGCCAGCATTCGCGTGCACGGGCGGCCGGGGCGCGTCGTCGTGTCTGTGTTTGAGGACGCCGCTCCCAGCCCGCGCTACCTGTCACGCGACCCCTTGCACTCAGCCGCAGCCAGCCCGGCCGCCCCCGTCACGCGCCGCGGCGGCGGCGAGGCAGGCGTTGCGGCCGTCGGGTCCGGCCGCACGGCGGAGGTGGCGCGGGTGCCGGAGGCGCTTGCAGCGCTGCGGCGGCAGCTGCTGATGGAGGCGCCGTTTCACGTGGGCGTGGGGGGCACTTACAGCCGCGTGATGGAGCGGTTCACCCCTGGCGCGCTGTCGCAGGCGTGGGAGCACGTACGGTGGTCGGCGCAGGTGCAGCGGCGGCAGCAGCAGCTGCAGCTACTGCAGCAGCAGCAGCAGCAGCAGCACAAGTCTCAGGAGGGCGCGAGGCGGCAGGCCAGCAACCGGCAGCAGCAGCAGCCGCAGCAGCAGCTGCAGCAGCATGAGCGTGCACCGCAAGGCGCCCGCAGTGCCGCCCCCGCCTCAGCGGCCGTCCCCCCGCCAGCGGCTCCCCCGCCGCCACGGCCCCGCCGCCTATGCGCCGGCGCCGACGGCTCCACATGGGAGGCTGCCGAAGTTGCGGCGCTCGCTGGGCAGCTGCGGGGCGGCTTCCTTCACCTGGAGGAGCTGTCCCTCACTGTCCCCTGCACAACGTACGGGCCCCACGCCGCCTCGCTCACCGCGGCACTGACCGTGCTCGTGCGGGCCCTCCGTTCGCAGCCCGCCCTCAGACAACTAGAGCTGCGCGTGTGCGGCGCCGGCTACGCGGCCGTGCTGCGCCAGGGGGGCACGGGCGTCCGCGCGCTCGCGCCGCTGTGGGCGCACGTGCTCGGCGCCCTGCGCGGCCTGGCGGAGGCGCTGCCCTCCCTGCGGCAGCTGAAGCTCGAGGCGCCGCCAGGGGTGCTGCCGCCTGACGCGCTGCAGCGGCTCGCGGCGGCGGCGGCGCGCGCGCCGGCGCGGGTGAGGGCCGCGGTGCTGCTGGGCGCGCACGCGCGGGCCGGGGCGGGCAGCGGGCTGAGGCTGCTGCCGGCTGAGGTTTTGGGACGCATCCTGGACCTGGCGGCGCCCAAGCGGCCGTGCGAGCTGCAGCTGCGGCTGCCAGACCCCCTGGACCTGGGCGGCAGCAGTAGCAGCAGCAGCAGCAGCAGTAGCAGCAGTAGCAGTAGCAGTAGCGAAGACGAGGAAGACGACAGCGACAGCAGCGGCGATGGAGGCGAGGGCGGTGGCGGCGGCGGCGGCGGTGATGATGATGGTTGATGTCCTCTGGTTTTTAGCAGCGCGGAATGCCAAGGCCACGCCGATTGGGATGCTTTCATGTTGCTGCAGTGGGTTTCAAGTTGGTGTCGCCGCTGGACGTCTCGTCTCGCGGTGGTTGCAAACTATGTTGAGTGAGCCTGGAGGGTTTCTCAGGCCTTTGCGCTTGCAGCGGCCCTTCCCCTCCCACCAACACCCCCCACTCACCACCGCAAGATTGTTGCGGGGGGACGAGGAGTTATGTACAGCCTGCTGGTCGGATGTGTCAAGGCAGGAGGCATGTGTAAAGCCTCTTCTTCCAGGTTGAAACGCTCAAGTTGGTTGACCGTGTGCATTTAAAATTGCGGACAACCGGGCGCGCGCACACACACATACAGACGCGCGCACACACACACACACACACACACACACACACACACACACACACACACACACACACACACACACACACACACACACAAACACGCGCGCGCACACACACATACACACTCTGGTGAAACCATCCCCTTGCCCTGGTCGCTACCCAGACAGCTGTGGGAGGTCAAGCTTGCAGCACGCCGCAGCTTGGTGTTGAAACCAAGCGGCTGCAAACATGATGGACCAAGTGAATTTACAATTGTCAAGCGCCGACATGAAATGGTGGTTGTGCGGAGCGCTGGTCACGCTGCCCCTGGGATGGAATGGAGCGGGCCAGAGGGAGGGTCCCCGCTCACGCAAATGCTGCACGCTGAAGCGAGTCTCTGTGCGTGCGCATGAGCGCACGTGTGCGTGCGTGTGCTCGTGTGTGTGTGGAGGGATCACTGCAAACACGTGCGGCCTCGTTCTTTGAAGGAATGAGCCCTGTTGTTGGAAGTCCCCTGCAGACAGCGCTGATATGAATTAGCCAGTGCGGGAGTGCGAGACCCATGGCCGTCCCCAGGGGGGTTCAGGCGGCGCCGACGGGGCCACGGGCGTCGGCCGGGGGCCCTGCGTTCGCAACCGCGCCTGCCGAGGCGGCAGGGGTGCTGCAGGTGCTGCTGCTGTCTTTGTAGCGAGTGGGTGTCTCGGGAATGCCGCGGGCACCCGTGCCCTCCTGCCCTCCCGCCCAACATGGCCGGCACGAGAGAGCGCTCGGATAATGGACAGCCGCCGGGTGCGCCTGCCGCCGTGTCGTCCTGCCGACCTCGATCATCGGTGCGGGGGCGTGCGGCCAGCTGGAATGCTGTGCGTCTATGAGTGCAGTGTTCGTAATAGGGAGCGCCGGTGCTCCTGGCCAAGTGCTGTGGAGCGCAGCGAGAGGGGTGTTTTCTAGCGCTGTGAGATAGAGCCCCAATACCCCGACTACGGAAACCGTTTTGCGCCGCCACCCTGCCGCTCGCATGCTTCTATCTTTCTTTCTTGCCGGGCGGCGTAGAGGGTGCGGCGCACAGGGCGCGCGCGCCCTCAAGGCAGCCGCGCGGCCGACGGCGCCACAAACTTCAAGAATACGCCCGGCAGCGCCGTCTTCCCGCCGGCCTGCACCGCTGCCGCGCCCGCCGCCGCCGCGCCCGTCAGCGCCGCCGCCCGCGAGCCCAGGTTGATCTGCGCGCCGCTGAGCAGCGCGCCGGGCGCGGCCTGCAGCGCCTCGTGCGCGCGGGTCAGGTTGCGCAGGGCTGTCCGGTTCAGGGGGGTGAGTGCTTCGATCAGGCCCTTGGCATCGTGCGGCTTCTTGAACATGTCCAGTCCGTAGTTGAGGCGGGGGATGGACTTTCCGAGGCCGTCCGCCAGGTCAAATGCGTACTTGATGTGGGGGTACCGCGCCCAGACCTGAGGCGCGGGCGGTGCGGTTTGCGCAGGGGGGGAAACGGCGGTGGGGGAC